AGTGTCAAGGCAACAGGTTTTTTTTTTATACACTAAAGCAAACAAAACACCTCAGGTTATTTATCATATACAGAGCAGTTTCACAGTACAATATATTTCACACACTGGATCCTGAAAACACTTTATAGGCCGATTGCTACCAGGTGAGTCAACCAATTTCTTCTACAGGTGCAACTCCGACTTTGAAATGGTCACTGCCGCTAACCAGGGTGTTGTTGAGACTGATTTCAGATTGTTTAAACGGCTCCGAAGTGGAGGGACAGGTGGTATAAAAGATGGAGTTTAAGGAAGTTAATTTGTTTCCTCTGTGGGACCCTGAAAGGTATAGCAGAAATCCTATCCTAGGAAGAATTTTGCTTTGTTCTGCTCAGTTTGTTTTTTTTTTGCTTTTCCCTTTTGGCTAGCAATAATGACTGCTTCATTTTGTTCCTGTGTTATTATCTTTAAGGAGATTTGTTTTTAAATACTCGCTGCTTTACTATACTGAAAGTGGTGTATGTACTCCAAGGGTTTTTATGCAGTCTTTATTCCCAGGTAACTGGCTGTGGGATTACAACAAACCCTAACTAAAAGTAGTTGTTGGCTATACAGATCCCATTTTTATATTCCTGCAAAAGGCTTCACTTATTTTTTTCTACAGTAACCCGTTCTAAAAGGCTAGGGTATAACATCTTAAATTCTGGGATGCAAATGTTGCATTTCTTGGAAACATACTGAAGCAAGGCTACCAAATCCTAAATCTGGTACTCTTACTTTGGAGCCAATGCTTCCATATGCTCAGCTACTAATAATTCTGCTTTCCACGCAAGGTGGCAATTATTGATAAAGGCTTTTTTTGCTAGTTTTTTATGGCAAAATTGTTTGTGCCACAGGGGAGGACAATTAAATTTTTCCAATAATTTTAAGCTGAAAATGTGAATTAAGCGTATTTGCAAGGTGAAAGAGCAGAGGAACAGGAATGAATGCAAACCAAGCTCAGTTTCAAGGTGTTTATGATAACCTATATTTATTCATTGAACTTGTATGCTGCCCATCTCAGCTAACTTTCAAACATATATAAGCTGCATATAGCTTAGGATCTAGAAATCCAGATCCTAAGAGACCTTTCCCTTGTGTGTTTTTGTTCATGTGAACTGCCCAGAGTCTGTGAAAGTTGGGTGGCATACAATTTTAATAAATTATTATTCATTAAATGACAGAATACTCTTGCTGAGGTCATATTTCCAGTAATTCTCCATGTAGTAATTAAAAAGTTTTTGATCCAAGTATATCATTTTTAAAATTCTTTATTCATTTCCAGTTGGCATCCAGTCTTAGAAGCTGTTTTCATAAAATACCTGCCTTTAAGTTTCCAGGGTATGCAAAAGGCCATGAGGGGTGGGGTTGGGTCAAAAAAGTCAAGATGGCAGCCAAATTGCCCCATGGTTGTGAGAGAAGGGTTTCAAGGGGCCACCATCTTGATTTCCTTTGAGGCCTCATAGATAAGCCCTTGAAACCAGATGGCCTCATTCCATTTCGTATTGTTTTTAAGATTCTGAGCTTCAATATGGAAAGGAAAGATATGCTGTCTGTTGTGAGGGAACATGTCAGCTTCCACTATCAAGTTTATTTCTTGATTCAACACAAGCCTCAACAGCATTGTTAGGAAATAAAGATGCTGGGGGCCTGTAGCCTGAACAAAAGATGGAGATAGGCTGAGAGTTGATAGATAATACTCTAAGAGGTTACAAAATGTGGCAAGGGAATTTGCCCATATATTTTGTGCCTGGCGAAATCCTTGCAAGAATAGTGTCTTTGGTCAATGGGGAGGCTCTCCTGTAGGGTAACCATGTTCTTGAGTGCCTTCAATGTACTTCCCAACTATTAATGTGCCAACTAATGGGCCATATCCTGAGGAGCTAGGTCACGACTCGGCGGAACACCAGGCTGCGGCCTGGGATGTGGCCGCAGCCGCAGCACTGGACCGAGTCGTGCCGCTGCGGCCTCTGACCCGGCGTAGGTCTCAACTGGCCCCTTGGTTCACCGAGGGGCTGAGAGAGATGAAATGCCGGAAAAGACGCCTAGAGAGCAGTTGGAGGGTTACCCGAACCGAATCCGACCGAACACAGGTAAGGATACATGTTAGATCCTACCTAGTGGCGATGAGGGTGGTGAGGTCTAATTACTACTCCACCCTCATTGCGTCATCAGATAATCGCCCGGCCTCCCTCTTCAGGGTGACCCGCTCCCTCCTCCAATTGAGGGG